GTAGAGATGGAAAGACCAGAAAATAAAAAGTTGTCCTAAATAGATTGGACAGGCCTATTTATTCTGAGACCTAGAGAAACTAACATTAGGTGGTATTGACAAGAAAATAAAAGTTAACTAAGATTAATTGAGCTTCCTCGCTCTGTAAGTTGATGGGAGGCAAACAGCAACATGCTTTTTGGTATTTTGGTGCTCATCTTCACAAAAACAAAAGTTCAAAGTTAAAGTAGCTAATGAAAGTGAATAAGCAGCAAATATAATGATCATCATGTAAAGCCAGCTGTTCTTTCAAGGGAAAACAATCCATGGTCAGTAGATATTCACTTTCTAACCGCACAATACATTGTGCGTCCAAGCCCTCTCACCGTCTCCACCGCCACACCACAGGCACTTCGCGCAGGGCTTACTGCATGAGTTTCTCACTTGTCTCCCTGACTTCACCCTTGTCCCATTCAAGGCATTCCCGTGTGCAGCGGAGGTGATCTGCTCTCATTATAAGAGAAATACAAGCTACAAGGGGATGCCTTTGCCACCTCTTAGAGTGGCGAAGTTAAAAAATTCTGATCCTACATTTTGTTGCCAAGAAGTAGAGGATCATAGGCTTTCAACTCATCGGTGGGGGTACAAGTTAATTCACTCACTTTGGGGAACAATTTGGCAATATCCATCCAAATTAAATGTATATAGAGACTTGCTGGCCTGCCTGTTTATTTCTGGGAATTTAGCCTTCAGGTATCTCACAGAAGGGCAAAGTGATATATGCATATTCAATGTGGTACATATATATATACACACATACATACACATATGTGTGTGTGTATCTGCTAAACGTCCATCAATGGAGAACTGATTTAAAATAAAGAATGGTATGACCATGCAATAATATTATACTATGTAGCTTTTGGTCAGCTCTGAACTGCTGTGAAAGGTGCTCCAAGATGGTTAAAGGAATAAAGTAAAATGCAAAACAATATGTATATTACAATTTTTGTTAAAAAAAAAGAAAGGAAGAAAGAAAGAAAGAAAGAAAGTTTGGTCTGGGACAGAACTGAGTAGTTGTAAGACAAGCATGGGAGAGAGGTGATTTTTAATGAATACCCTTTATTGAACTTGATACTGTATGTAGTTTACACATTCAAGAAGAAAATACTTTTCTTTTAAAGAGTGATCTTTAAAGAGTCAAAATATTGGGCCCAAGGCTTCTGTGCTTAGCATCTTTCTATGAGTTCCTTTGCGTTTAAGATTAAAACCCAGTCCAGGGTTTTAATGTCAGGAATGAGAGACTGCACGCACCTTCATGTATATTTCTCCTGTCGCCTGAAATGCTCACTTCCTTTGCTTATGCTCTTCTTTCATCTGTGACTTTCACGGAGAAAACGTCTCCAGTCTAAATTAGGCTCCCTTACTAGTCTCTCTCACAGAAGGATGAAATTATGTATTTATTTGTTCGGAGATCAGTGTCTGTCCTGTGCACCACTTTTTGCTCTACTAGGCTAGGGTAGCGGGAAAATCATTCTGTTAAGTCACAGGAGAGCTGAGTTCTGATCCTACCCCTGCAGAACTGTGGCCTGCAGCAAATCACTTCACTTCTCGGGGCTTCAGTTTTTTTCATTTGTAAAATGGGAAAACCACACTGGTTGATTTCTAAAGCCTTGTGATTGATGGTATTAGAATGCTATGAGTGTGTGGTAATCGTGTGAAATACACATAAATCTTGAATGCTGGTGTGTTCTTTCTTATAATGTGAAATACACCTAAATATTGCATGTCTGTGCTTTATGTTAATGAATGAAAGTTCAGTTAACTTCCTTCTTCAGAGTAACTTAACTTTATGATTACTCTTCCCAGTATAATTGTTTGATTCCTTCCTTACCTTTTACAAATATGTCAGATACCTAGATATCTAGCTAACGTTCCAAGATGGACTTACTATGCAGACAGGATACTCTAATATGCCAAACTCTAATTTTTTTCTTTTAATAATCTCCTTGCCATGTTTTTATCCAGCATCTTTGACTTGAGTTATTAGATCACATAGCTCTTTTCTCATTCCCGTTTTCATTAAATTATAAATCCACTAGATGGTGCATATGAGCAGAGATAAAGAGGAATTAGTTCATTTTTTTCTACTCTAGCTCAAGTTAAAAGTTTCTATTCAAGGGGAAGGCTAAAAATTTCTGATTACATTTTGGTTTTTAGAGCAAAGAAAAGATGTCTCCATCAAAAAAACATAACCATAGTGTGTGTGCTTAGCATGCACAAGGTCCTGGGTTCAATCCTCAGTAGCTTCATTAAATAAACAAACAAACAAACAAACAAACAAATAATCTAATTACCCTGTGTCCCCCCAAAATAACCAAAAATGATTTTCTTTAATAAAGTTTAAGATTTCTGTTGGCTATTAAAATAGTTGATTCTACAAATTGAATACTTGAACATTAGAAGAATGTTTCAAATAAATAAAATTTGACTCAATAAATGTGAGGGAACATTTTTGCCTTTTCCTCTCTTTCTGCTTTCTCAGATGTGAGAACATGACTCTCTTCTGTAAGAAGTTTTAATTGTCCAATTATTCCTCCATTCACTGACTCCTACTTAACAAATGCTGACCGTTGTTTCTCCTGTCATTTCTGAGAACTAACAGCGCCCTGTTGTATTAGAAAATTAATCCTTTGTTCCATGGGGCCACCTGGAGTTATAGTTTGCTACTTTAGCAAATCCTTTTATTATAAAAAGGAAAGTGTTCTAATTTTTCTTTTTCTTCTTTAGCGCCTGGTCTGATGGCAGTGGTTGGAGGACGTCCCAAGGTGTAAGTTTGCTGACTGTACGCTGGGGCGTCTTCTATCTGTCGTTCCCCTTGGCGCAGCTTTCTGGAGGGCGAGGGCAGGGCAGATCAGGGGTCCGCGGCCTGCCCTCCTGGCACATCTTGGTCACAAATGTCCTGAGACTCACGGGAGCCGTGCCAGGGTTCCTGAACAGTGAGCGGGCCTTATCTGAGAATCAACTTTGTTTTTCCTGGAGGAACCAGACAGGTGAACTGGTCCCAGGGTTAAAGTTCTCAGGAGATAAATGGCTTTTCTAAGGAATAGCATAAGGCGGAGGTAATCGATTCTTCCAATTGCTAATTTACAATGAGGGAAATTTGATTTGTTGACAAATGAAAGAGAATTCTTGGGCTTAACATAACACAATTAGAGGAACGTGACCACCTCCCTTAGGTTTCTCCTTCTCCTGCCAGAATCCCTCGTTCAGTTTCTCCTGGCACAGAAGACAGTTCTTTCTGTTTGTAGAAAGTCAAGCACGTTCTTGTACTTCGGTGGAATTTTCCAGGCTGCTTTGAGCTCTGTTCCTTTGGGATAAGGTATGGGGCAGTTAGATGACTGGCTCTCGGTATGTATTTGTGTCAGTTTAATCAGGAACGCGTGGCTTCTCTCTCTTTCTGTCTAAAAGTCAGATAGGGCTGAAAAAGAAGAAAAAGATAAGGCCTTGGAAGAATTGTCTGTCCTGTTTACTCTTTCCTCTCTACTCTCTCCTGAACCCACTTCGAGAAGGGCTTCACCGGCCACCCTTCCTCCAGAAGTGCCCCTCCTCAGGGTCTCCCACAACCTTTGTTTGGTTTCATACCGAAGTCCATTACTGTCACCGGAGCATTGTTTGATACGGAGCATTGTCTGACACTGCTAGTCACTCCTCTCCTCCTTGAAATACTTTCTTAACTTGGCTCCGAAGGTGCTGTGTCTTTTTTCTTTTTTAAATTGATTAGAGTCATTTACGATGTGTCAGTTTCTGTGTAAAACAGTGTCCCGATCATACATATATATACATATATTCATTTTCATATCCTTTTTTCATTAGAAGTTATTACAAGATACTGAATGTAGTTCCCTGTGCTATATGGAAGAAACTTGTTTTTTGTCTGTTTTTATGTATAGTGGTAAAGTTAACATTTTTAACGATGGCCATTCTGATGGTGGGAGGGGGTGTACCTCACTGTAGTTTTGCATTTCTCTGATAATTAGCAATATTGAACATTTTTTTATGTGCCTGTTGGCCATTTGTATGTCTTCACTGGAGAATTGCTTGGTTAGGTCTTCTGCTCATTTTTGGATTGGGTTGTTTGTTTTTTGTTATTGAGTTGTATGAGCTGTCTGTATATTCTGGAAATTAAACCTTTTGCTGGTTGCTTCATTTGCAAATATTTTCTCCCATTCCATAGGTTGTCATTTTGTTTTGCTTATGGTTTCCTTTGCTGTGCAAAAGCTTCTAGGTTTGATTAGGTCCCATTTGTTTATTCTTGCTTTTATTTCAATGGCACTGTGTTTCCGTGGGGGTCTCTCACCTCCTCGTCTGATCCTCCTCCATCCCCTTTGCTGAATCTTCCTCTTCCTCCCTGACTTCTAAACATGGTGGCGCCTCAAGACATAGTCTTTGCACCTCTCTTCTCTTCCAGCGACACATACTGCCCCATGGTCTCATCTTGTCTTTAACCTTCAGATACCACCTGTATGCTAACGGCTTTCACATGTATTTCTCCAGCTTCTCTGTCTCCCTTAACCCTCAACCTCATATATCAGTTTTTTACTTAACAACTCCACTTTGGAGGCCTAGGAAACACTTCAATTTTAACACACTGCAAACTGAAGCCCATCCCACTGCCATCCAACCAAGTCCCCCTCTTCTCAGTAAATGACAACTTCAAGCCAAAAACCTTTGTGTCATCCCTGCCTGCTCCCTTTTCTCGTGCCTTATCTACAATCCATCAGCAATAGTTCCACGCCTGTGTCTTCAAAACATGTCAAAAATCTGCGCCCTGATGACCCCCACCGTGGTCACCCTGATTGCAGCCACTACCCCCTTGGTTATTGCAATAATCTCCTAACTCATGTCCCTGTTTCTACTTCCCACAATCATTGATTCCCGAAAGAAGGTCATCCTTTAAAGGTGTTAAGCCGGACAATGTCTGTCCTTTGCTCCAAGTCCTTCATCTCACGTAAAGTAAAAGCCAAAGTCCTTCAAATGGTGTAGCGGGCTCTGCCCAGGCCCCGATGTCCCCTCCGACCATCTCCCAGGCACTCGCTCTGCTTCAGCTGCCCTGCCCTCCTTTCCAGGCTGCCGGAATGTCTTTGCCCTTTCTCCTCCCTCTGACTCAGGGGTTCACGGCCCTCTGCCTCACTTCAGGTCTTAGCTCAAAGGTCGAATCTCAAAGAGTACAACCTGGCCACACTATTTAATTTTGCCTAAAATCTTTGAACACCTCCTGTCCCCGTTCTGTGCTTCATTAGTCTTGAGGGCACCTGACATCTGTTTTACCTGTTTTCTTCATTATTATACTTCATTATTATACTCTCTGCCACCCCCGCAACACACACCCTTAAATATAAGCCCCTTGAGGGCAGAAAATTCTGTTTATTTGCATTCATGGTGGTGCCCTTAACACTGGAGGGGTGCCTGCCACAGAGTAGGCCTGTAATAGATATTTGTAAAATTAATGCATGATTAAAAAAAGTTTGAAATGGATACCCTCTTGTGCTAGGATGGAAACATTCTAAGAGTCAAAACTGTGAGATTGGATGAACTTTTGCACGTTTGGTTGACTGTTCAGCAAATACTAATAGATCATCTACGCTGTGCCAGGCCTCGTCTGGGACTAAGCACAGAGAGGTGGGCAAAACATGGCCCTGTGCTCATAAAATGCCCTCCGCTTGAAATTCTATTTTGCATACAGAAAAGATATAAATAATAATATATATTCTTTCTATCAGAAACATGAAGAATAATGAGTTCTTGTATGCCCACGTTATACCCAAAGAAATAAAATATTATCAGTGCAGGTAAGTCCTCATTTTACTTTTCTCCAATTGCATCTCCTTCCTTGCTGGGGTAACTGCTATCCTGAATTTGGGACTCATCCTTCCCATGCAATTTTTTTAATTCTTACTTTTATTGAAGTGTAGTCGGTTTACAATGTTAGTTTCAGGTGTACAGCAAAGTGATTCAGTTATGCATATACATGCATTTTTTTCAGGTTCTTTTCCATTACAGCTCATTACAGGATATTGAATATAGTTCCCTGTGCTATACAGTAGGTCCTTATTGTTTATTTTATATATAGTAGTTTGTATCTGTACATCCCAAATTCCTAAACCCATGCATTTTTAAAATGCTTTTGTTATACATTGACCCCTACACCACACATATTATTGTTATGTTTAAATGGTGTCAAAACACAGGTCTTGAGGGGGAGGGTAAAGCTCAGTGGTAGAGCACAGGCCTAGCATGCATGAGGTCCTGGGTTCAATCCCCAGTACCTCCATTAAATAAATAAACCTAGTTACCTCCTCCTCCCAGAAAAGAAACCAAAACCCACAGGTCTTTTTTTTTTCTCAGTATTATTGTGCTATTCATCTATGTCCATACGTGTAACCATTCACTTACTCTGCTGGATAACATTCCAGTTACTTATCCATTCCCTTGTTCATGGACGTATAGATTGTTTCCAGGTTTTTGATATTATAAATGTGATTGCCTTAACATTCTAGACCAATAGAAATTTCTGCCCGGATGGAAATGTCTTGTATCTGTACTCTACAGTACTGCAGCCACTAGCCACATATGGCTCCTGAGCATTTAGAATATGGCTAGTGTGACTCTGGGACCTAACTTTTAACTACTTAATTTTAATGAATGTGGTTAATGACCACTGTATTGGAGACCACAGTTCTGGACTATGTTTGTCTCTTTGGGTTCATATGAGAATTTATCTAGGGCAGTAATTCTCAATACTGAGACACTCAGTGTACTCATAACAAATATATTTTGTATCACCTCTTTTACTATCTTGAAATGAAATTTGTAAGTAATTTAACTCATTTGCACACATTTAGAAAAATCAAATATATTTATTGTGATATAAAGTAGAAATACAAGAAAGCTAATAAATCAAATAACAGGTATTTCAATACATCAATGGCCACAGATACTTAGCAGTGCATTAGGAGACAAACTGAAGTCATCTGCAAATGCAGACTAGCAGAGGCTCGTGATATTGGAAACTCAAACCTCGAAAGTGATGTTGCTATTGGTGATGTGAAAAACTCTTGATAAGTTTCTGAGCAAGATGAAATACAGTCTTCCCTTTACTAGAAGTTGCATCCCTGGAAAATTTATATATATTAAAATCTTACAAAAATATTTTGGTATTTATACCTAAAACAAAGTTATGTTATAGTCTTAGATAAACGGGTTTCTCATCTGCATGAGTGTTCTAGTAGAACCTCTGAAGTCATGGAGGACCTTGGACAGTTCTTTTTTGAATGGAATGAGCCTTCAAGGTGCAGGATAAATGGGATACCTCGCTCCCACCTACTACCTGACAGTAAACTCTCCATCATTCTTTTTTTTTTTTTTAATTTTGAAAATTTTCTTTTTTTTTCTTTTCTTGGGGGAGGTTAATTAGGTTTACTTATTTATTTATTATTTATTTTTATTTTTTTGAGGTGGTCCTGGGGATGGAACCCAGGACCCTGTTCATGCTAAGCATGCACTCTACCACTTAAGCTATACTCTCCCTTATATCACTCTTATGAACAAAAATGCCCCCCTGGTGTGGCCCCAGTCCTGTTGAATCCTACTGGGACATGTCTGGCACCAAATTACTGGGTCTTAAGAGATGAGCATCTTCAGCTTTATGTAATATATGCTTGTTCTCCAAAGTAACTTCTAATTACACCAAGTTCTCTGAAGTGTTTAGACCAAATTACACTCCTACCAGCAGGATATGAAATTTACCATTTCTCCATGCAGTTTTTA